AAAGTTACAGCTAATTGGTTTCTTAGAAACTCTTTTTTTTTTCTCTCAAGGTCTCTAAAACTTGATATGTTGCTCTTTTTGCTTCTAAAACTTTATGTTGCACTTCTGTGTTATTATATTTACGAATAAATGAAGGATGTTCAAGATAACTAAGATAAAAATTTTGCTTCTTCAAAGTCCTGCTAATTCTTTTGGATATATATGCTAATCTTCTCTTTATGCTAGTTATAGTTAGGTGTCTGAGACAATAAATACTTAGTGGTTGTCGTTGACAAAATCTACAAGGACAATAATATCTATTGTTCATACAAAATAAACAAGTGTGATATCAGTTGTATCAATGACTTCCGTCATCAAAGTACTTTACTATTATAATTATACTATTAAAATGCTAAACTTGGTTCTGATACCAAATTCGCAAAGCAAGCCTGGTTAAATAGTTATATGGTCATTATAACAACTAGACATAAAACCTTGCACATGGAACTCGACATGTTTCAACATGATGGCCACTCACAATGTAGGTATGATGCCTTAACGACTGAACTCAGAGGTACCCTGGTTAATGTTCAGTTATTTGTATGGCAAGCATTTAACTATAACAGAGTGCTCAAACAAAGCATGATCGTCAGTTTAGCAGGTTAATAATATAACTACAATAGTGTTTTCCTGTTTTTAACTAGAAGTCTAATTAAACAAACACACTAAAGAAAGAAAAGAAAGCTTACTTAAGAATTGAAGATTGCTTGAATCTGTACACTTGAACTTGTATTGATATATAAAATGTTTACAAAGAGAAGTGTTTACAAAGGATGCTAGGAAGGTTTCAGATGCTTGAGTGTTTTTAGGTTGAAGTATGATGTGTGTATGGTGTGGAGGTGTTGAGATATTTTTACAATGAATGGAATTCCTCTTATATAGACTGAATGAGGATATAGCAATATAATTGTTTTTTTACAAATGAATGGTGTGGACATCTCCTTGGTATACTTGTCACTTTGCTTCTACTGTTGCTGAAAATGTCAGCACTGTTTCTGAAACGTGGTCTGACTTTTGCTTTGTTTGATAAATGCATGTGAACTTGCTTGTCTCATTTTGCTTTGCATGTGAACTTGCTGCATAGTTTTTCTCTTGGAGTTTTTGTATTTGCTTTGATGAAGAACAAGTGACTTCTGATGGATGTTGGAGACTGGGATACTTTTGTTTTTTTTTTTGTTTTTGTCAGAAGGTTTTCAAGGGCAACATTGCCATTTTTGAAATTATTTGTCCTTATGGTTAAATGAAAGTTTTCTAGGGTGTTTCTATTAGTTTTCCCTAAATTAAACATGTAATCCATTTGGCGCCAATGCAATTTTTATTTAAAAGTATATAATAAAAAAAAACTTTATCTCGCTAAATATGATCGGCTGTATGAATTCTAAAACGTCACTAAATTCAGATTTGCGGTAAGTATTCTATTAGCTCCAAGTAATCCATATATTTTCTTAAAATCTCTTTTCAATTATTCCTAAGTATTTCTCTATCCCTTTCGCCACGAGTCTATTTTATAATCGCATCTTCCGTTGTTTTAAAATCATCATTGAATAGAAAAGGAGATACACACTTACAAATTATGAGCATAGCCAAAGAATATAAAAACAATTTTCTACGGGTTCACCCAATAAGATGCCCAGCAAGAACAATAAAAGACTCCAATGGAGTGCTATGCAAATAAAAGCAAACTCAATTCAACAACCAAAACTATTTAATTAAAAAAAAAATCATAAATTGTGTTACACTATTCTATGAACTCAATAATCAATAGCTGATGACACTCCAATTTAATTTAAGTTCAAAAACATCTTTAATCGGAAAAAGGTTCTAAAGATGAAATTTTGGCTCTTCAAACTGTCAATGCATGTAAATAAAAGAGTTAAGATTGGGAATGATTTTCTAAATGGGTATTAGGTTCTATTTTTTTCACACTGCACTATGAGATTTTGAAATTGTATTAATTTACACCTTTTGTTTCGTTGAACATCAAATCATTCGTTACACTGATGAATTTTTATGTCAGTGTTGTCCAAATGGGGCATGCACGTTAATCATATAAGAGTGTTAAGCTCGCCACATTATCAATTTAATGAAGTATCATAAAATCAAGGGAAATTTTATTTAAACCCATCTAACCTATTTCTACACCCAACTTACTCTTTGCATCCATTTGATTTTTAACTAAACTATTAATATCTCTTTAAACCCAAATTTAATACCTAATATACCCCCATAAACTCAATTCAATATGTGGATTTATTTTACACCCATTTGATTTTTAGAAGCTAAATTTGATGGGAGGAAGCTCCTCCTGTAATCTGAGGCCATCTCCAACCGATGGCTGGCCAGAGGGCTCGTTTTAGCCCTCTGGCCCTCTAAGATTCTCCAAGATATTAATATTTTAATGAACAGTACAGGGCCATATTTGCCTCCGTCTCCAACTGAGGGCCAGAGGGCCAGATGGCTCGTTTTAGCCCTGTAAAAAAAAACCGTCTCCAACCGAGGGCCAAAGGGCCATAGGGCCAAACATAATTTATTATTTAAAAACTACAACTTAATTTTATTTAAAAATCATGTTGGTTAGTGTTGTATAATTTTTATGTCGGTTAATGTTATTTAATGTTGTTTCATATTGTTTAATGTTGTTTCATGTTACTTAATTTAATTTAATGTTGTATAATGGCTTAGGAAGTTATAGGAAAAAAATAGAATTTAAAAAAAATATGAAACAAATTTTGTGAAATAGAAGTTATAGGAAAAAATGGAATTTAAAAAAAAAATATGAAACAAATTTTGTAAAATAGAAGTTATAGGAAGTTATAGAAAAAAAAAAGAAAAAAAAAGGTTTAAATTCATAAAAAAAAAAAAGGATTTACAACGGCTAGTGGCGCTAGCCGTTGGAAGTTTGAATTCAAAATGTTATTTCTGTCGGTTGTAACCGACAGAAATAATATATATTATATTATTTTTGTCGGTTATAACCGACAGAAATAAGAAACATTAAAAAAAAAAAGCCAGCCCGGGGCTGGCTGGCTGGCCGAAAGCAGCCAGCCCTCTCCGATCCCGTGGGGCCCTCCCAGATTCCCGAGCCTTCTGGCCTAGCCCTCGGTTGAAGACGGTTTTAGGGCTATTTTTGGCCCTCTGGCCCTCTGGACCCTTCGGTTGGAGATGGTCTGAACTTGATTTCTTTGGTCTGGCCCCCGTACTTATTCCATTCCACATGACACTCCCACCAGGACTTTGCATGGGGCCGCCATGCTCCTTGACAGGCCATCCAAACAAATTAGGATCAGTAGATGCTTTTGTGGCAAGTGATTCCATGCACCTTTTTGGAATGTTGAGTTCTTCAGCATAAGGGAGCATGTCATCACAAGTTTGAAGTGTCTTTAGAGAGTCCTTGCAATTTCGAAGAACTACTTGATTGAGAAAGGCTTCACTTTGTGTGATTAAGTTGTCCTCCCCGTACTCTTCAGTCATTTCTAGATGCCGAAATTGACAATGAGAGAAACTGGAAACAACCAAGGTTGAGTAGAATCGTATAGTTTTCTAATTGCAATTAAGGCTAATGAAATTGCTGATCGTATCGAAGTCAGATCATGGTTTTCTAATTGCAACTGATGGTTTGCCAATTCATAAATTGAAATCAAACGAATAAAAAATTCATAAATTGAGTAATACCTTGGTTGGAGGATTCAAAACTTCAAAATCACCATCCATCAATAAAAAAACTTATTTTTCTCTATGACAGCTATTAGGGTTTTAGCTAGAATGAACGTAGGATAAAAAAATAGTGATCGTACAGTTTAATTATAGTGTTTGGGTATATTGATAAATTTGAGTTTTATTATTAATTTCATTTTGTACTTAATAGTAATTATGCAATAGGGTAAAATAGAAAATTAACATTTAAAATTTAAGTTGGGTGTAAAAAGAGGTTAAATGGGTTTAAATAAAATTTCCCTAAAATCAATCAGACCGAAGGGTTCAAATTGATACAATTTAAATACCTTAGAGTGTAATATAAGAAAATTGAAACTTCATAGCTTATTCTAAAAGCACTCTAAACATGAAGAGTGTAAAATATAATTAATCTTGAATAAAAGTACAATTTAAAAAGCCATATTAGCTTCTTTTCCTAGAAATGCTCTTATATGTTTATAGTTTATTTGTAGAATAATACTTGACTATTCAAAATATGAGCACCCATTCAAATATATTTATTGTCGATTTATATGATTATAACTATTCATATTATAAATTACTTTATAAAGATCGTTTTTGCTAAAAATCAATTAAAATAAGGTCATCTAGTTATTGAATTGTATAAAAATAGATGAATGAAATTAGTAAAAGTGTTACGAATCATTTATGTATTTTGTACAATAAATTGACTAAACGATCTTATTTTTAATTCATTTTTTGCAGAAATGATCTTTATATAATGATTTATTATACGAATGTTTCTGATAATAAATACAAAACTCTATATTGCACACCAAAAGTTTATATATAAGTTCCTACCCATCCTTGAGTAACAAAACATCATTGTTATTTGTGTAAATAGAGTTGGATAATTTAATTTTGAGGTTTATATAAATGGAAGAGGATTCGGTCTGAATCTCTCTCATTAAAAGCTCAGGATCAAGTGATCCGAGTCGTTGAAATTTAATCAAACGGTTACAATTATTATAATTTTTAGAGAAATTCCTATTTGTAATCATTTGATCAAATTTTAACAGTCCTGATCATTTTATCTTGAACCTTTGATGAGAGAGATCCGGACCAGATCCTCTTCCTATCTAAATTCGTAGTAAAAGCCCTGGAAGCATATGAGGAACAGAGGCAGGTCCTTCTGTGTAAACACAACATATTTGCTTCTCCAACAAAAAGGCGCCTTTCATAACAGCAGCTGAGCAGCGCCTCCGTTTTTCAGCCGGCAAAAAAAAGAAGAAGAAGATTTTACCGAAAGCCTGCAAATTTTTAATAAACCGTTAATTAACCTCCAAAACCTTTTCTAATCACACCACGAAAACCGAAAAGGGTTGTTATCCACACTTGAACCAGAAAGAGATTAAAACTTACATGTCAGGAACAAGAACATTCCTAACTTTCAGCAAAGAATCTTAATCCCAGCCGAAAATCTAAATATCGGATAAGGTTTAGCCCTAGATTAGCGCACAAGGTAAGAATGTGAGTTACTGAAAGAGTCTGCAAGGCAGAATTCTAGAGAGCTGCGACTCCGATGGCTTCCTCGGCTGTCCCTATCAGAACTAACCGCAGTAGCTAATCTTCCTTTCTTTTCAAACCCTAGCAGAAACCGAAAGTTACCACATTTTCTTCCTTTCTTTCCAAATTTAATTATTGGAATAATCCCATTAATTTAATCGTTGTTTATTATATAAACCCACATCACATTTCCCCAGATTTGCAGCTTCCTAGGTTCTTTTTGTTATCGTTCCACAATGCTTCTTCCTACCACCTGCATTCTCTTAATTTGTTTCTTTCTCTCTCCTCTCTGTAAAGCTTCTTACTCCTTCAACCTCTCCCTCCCTCACCAGCACCCAGACCCTGATGCAGTTGCTCATGAAGTTCAAAGGTAAAGACCCTAATTTTCCCCCAAATTACTCAAATCCCCATCTGGGTTCTGCTCATTTTTCGATTTTGCAAACTGGGTTTTGCTCATTTTTTGATTTTACAAAAGGGGTTGGCCTTGCTTCCCATTTTTCAGCTAAAACCCCTGTCTGGGTTTGGTACATTTTAGCGTTTAATGCTCTGGGCCACTCTGTTTTCAATAATCCCAGCTGGGTTGCTTCAAAAATCATGCATTTTGAGCTTTTAGACCAAAAAACCCAATCTGGGTTTTGCTAATTTTCTCTGCATTTTCCCGCTAACCAAACAGGGCACTCTGTTTTTTCTGTTCAGGAGAGTCAATGCGTCTGTTTCCAGGCGCCAAATGCTGTCCATTGACGTCAAGGACCAAAGCCAGTGCCTTGTCGGCAACCCAATCGACGATTGCTGGCGCTGCGAGGACTGGAGCAACAACCGCCAAAAGCTCGCCGATTGCGGCATCGGGTTCGGCATGGACGCCATGGGAGGTAAGGGGGGCCTGATCTACATAGTCACCGACTCGTCGGATTCCAACCCGGCCGACCCAACTCCGGGCACGCTCCGCCACGCCGTCATTCAAACCGAGCCCCTCTGGATCATCTTCTCTGCTGACATGACCATCAAGCTCAAATGCGAGCTTATCGTCAACAGCTTCAAGACCATCGACGGCCGCGGCTACAGCGTTCACGTCACCGGTGGCGGATGCATAACCCTCCAGTACGTCTCCAACATCATTATCCACAACATCCACGTCCACCACTGCAAGCCCGCCGGCAACACCAACGTCGCCTCCAGCCCCACCCACGTCGGCTGGCGCGGCGAGTCGGACGGCGACGGCATCTCCCTCTTCAGTGCTCACAAAATCTGGATCGACCACTGCTCCCTCTCGTTCTGCGCTGACGGATTAATCGACGCCATCATGGGGTCGACCGGAATCACGATTTCCAACAACTACTTCGCCCACCATGACGAGGTGATGCTGTTGGGCCACAACGACAAGTACTTGCCGGACTCCGGGATGCAGGTGACGATAGCGTTTAACCACTTCGGTGTGGCGCTGGTGCAGCGTATGCCGCGGTGCAGACGCGGGTACATCCACGTGGTGAACAACGACTTCACGCGGTGGGAAATGTATGCTATCGGCGGTAGCGCTAACCCCACCATCAACAGCCAGGGGAACCGGTACACTGCTCCTCAGGACACGAACGCCAAGGAGGTAAGGATTGTAATTTTTGTAAAGTTCGTGCCTTTTTTTTTTTAAAACTTGAAGTTTTGGGTTAGAGGGAAAATTGAAAGGTTAGCATATGATTGTTTCATGATTTGGGAAGTGGTACTTGGGTGCGTCTCACTTGCACGGCGGCGCGTGGGTGGGTGTGTTAGCGCGCTTCCAGGTGGCATTGGTTGTCACTTTGAAGCTTACATGTCAATCTGGGAAATGGTTATATGGTGAGATACATTATCCCACTTGCATTGGCGGTGCGTGTACAAGACAGTCACGCGCTGTGAGCTGGGGCGGCTTTTTAATGCAAATGTTTGCAATTCGTGATCGACTTGTAATACTGTTACAATGAGAGTGTACTTATATAGCCACTGTGATAGTATCTCACTGTGACAGAATCTCAAATTTATCTGGCATTATCATTTTGAACATATGTAATGTGTAATTAACTTGTAATACTGTTACACGTCATCTCCATGCTATCACAATGATAGAATCTCAAATTTAACTTCCACTATCATATAAAACATATGTTAATGTGATTGATTTGTAATACCGTCACAGCGACGCCTTTCATGTCATATGTTTCCTTAAAAATGGGTTTTGGGTAAAGAAAAGTTTTGAACTTTACGCATGTGAAATTGTTTGAAAGTGAAAATATAGTGCCTGACATTGGGCAGTTGTAGCCACCAGTTGATTTGGCTTGACATGAGGTCAAAAGACCAAATTATATATTATAATTATGTTCGCGCGTGCTGTTCACAGGTGACAAAGCGCGTGGACACGAACGAGGGGGATTGGTCCGACTGGAACTGGAGGACGGAGGGGGACATAATGGTAAATGGCGCGTTTTTCGTACCGTCAGGCGCGGGAATGAGCGCTCAGTACGCCAAGGCCTCAAGCATCGAGCCCAAGTCCGTGACTCTCATTGAACAAATCACGGCCAACGCCGGTGTCTTTGGTGACCCAAGGTACGCAAAATTACTACAACACCCTTCCCTTCTTTACTTTCTCAACTGTATTACCTGTCGCATTAACTGTCATAGTGAGGGCATTTAAGTTTTCCTTCTTAAAATTGTGGGTGAAATGACCGGAACACCCCTGCATTTCATGATACTTTCTTGTTTGCTGGCTTTTCGGTTTTGAGATTTAGGATTGTTGGATGTTACCATTGTAGGAAGCACTTTTGTTAAAAGCCTTTTATTATGTACTTACAAAACACTTGAAGTGCTTCGTGAAAGATTGGATAATAAGAGGATCATTTTTTATTATTTGAAAATGCTTTTAGCTATTACATGTCTATCTACTGAGAATTAGTAGTACTATTATTAGGAAGAGGAGGGGAAGTTCGAAACTGTTCAATAATGTAAAGATGAGGGAGTTTTAAACTCTAGTCGTGTGAATAGAAACTCAATATCATATTTATTAGAATATTGAACCACATGTAAGCAATGAGCAGGATAACGAAGGGAGATGAAAAGAATGGGAAAATGGAGTTGGGTTTTTACGAGTGCACGTGATCACTCGGGGCCCATTGGGAATCAAGCTGCTGACATTGCAGCCTTAAAAGTAGGTTCAGTTGTCCTAGTCTTTTAGCATTTGAGAAAATTTTTATTGGGACGGGAATATAAGTAGTATATTACGTGTTTTAGTAGAAGTGGTGAAAATTTTATTTTACATATCCCACTATTTATATAGTAACACATGGTGTATCATCCTATGTATCGGTCACAATGAAAAATAGCATTGCCCATTGTCTTTCTACTTCTGCTTTTCTGCTTGGCTATAAAGCACCCACCAAGTGCACAATTCCTATTAATTAGAGCTTATTAAAATGGAGAAGGATTATCTTCCCCTCCTAATCTTTCTCCCATTCTCTCTCCTTTTATTTGAACGGTCACGATTAAGCCACGTCAACATCTTATATTGATATGAGAGGAGGGAAGGGATGAGGATGAGAATAGAATGGGAGAAAATCATACTCCTATTAAAATACAAATCTGTTTTTTATTTCTTAATTTAAAAAAAAAATAATTATGGCCTTGGGATTAGATGTAAGTATGTCCACCACTCTTGTTTTTTCCATTCGATACGTTCTAGGTTTCTTGGGGGTTGTGACCCTCTTATTTTTACAACCCAAAAGAGCTGCAAGAGAAAGTGTGAAAAAACCTATTTTACTATTGAGCAGAGTACAGAAGGAGAAAACGAGAGTGTTAAAAATACTAGCTTAACCATTTCGGTATTACCCAAATACCAAAATTGCCCTTTGTGCTCGAGAATGTAGTGGCATTAGGAAGGGATAGGTTTGTCTTTGTGGGGGGAGATTGGTGCAACAATGTCAACAACTAATTAAGGGTGTCCCCATCATGAGAAGCTTGTGATGTTTAGGTTAGTGTAGTGTACAAAAGTTTTGCAAGTGGGACTTGTTGTTTAGGGATGGCTTGTGCTGTAGGAGACCCGGGGTTCGTCATGTCTTGCTGTGTTCTGCATTGGGAAGGTGGCTCACTTATATTCCCTTCATCTGCTTTTCAGGCCGATTGTATTTTTGCTCACCACCTTATTTATCGCTATTGTGTTAGTTTAAATTTTGAAAGTTGTGTCTATGTATTACGTAGATTTCAAAATTTAAACTCATGTAACGGTGATAATAGGATGGAGTACATCGAGTAGTGAGCAAAAATATTTCATTTTCAGCCAGCGAGTGTGGGTTCCCTTTATACAATTTCCAAATGCATGGGCCCCACCCCACCCCACCCCAACCCACCCCACCCCAACCCACCCCACCCACCCATGAGTTTTTCTTTCCTTTGCCATTGGACCCCTCCTGTGATTTGATATAACCAAAATCCAGATATGGACAACTCCCGTGCATTGGCATTGGACCCAGGTCTTGAGTCTTGACAGTGAGCCCTTCCCTTCCCCCCTTTTTCCTCTCTTTTTTTAAACAAACTGATCCTTAACTTTGATACCGTTCAATCCTTTCCATAGCAAGTTGTAGTTTATTTTCAGATCAGAAAATTATAAGGATATGGTAGTCAATGGACAAGTTGAAAACAGGGTCTTGGACTGACCCCAAATTACTGATCAACGAGCCGGACCAACCCAGGTCCATGAACCATGAACTATAATGATTCGAGAATTCAGGTCAACGGGTCATGAACCGACCCAAGTCGGGCTTGAATGGTGTGATGTGTGAGGTTGGTGTAGGTTGTTTACCAGTACGGTCTAGTAGTATTCATTTTCATTTGTAAGTAACACGTCTTAGGTTCGATTCTCGTCAAAGATAAATTTGAACCACATTATTGCTCGCCCTCCCCCTTCCCCTTTAATGTATATAATATCGTTTGTTTAAAAAAAATGATAAATTTCAGTAGATTTCCCTTGCCTTTATCCTAAAACGGCAAAAGCAATTCCCACAGTTTGAGAAAGGTCCCCCCAACAGGCCCCCGCCCCTCCTCTCCCATGTGAATGCTGACGGCAGTCGTCCACCGACACGTGGGGCAACTGTTCACAGCAACATCTTCTTCACGTTCTTGGCCGATGTCATGACGTCTTAAAACTTGTTGCAGATTGTTAATGAGCTTGTTTTCATGGACTCTTGTGCTACACCAGATGTCATCATTCATGTCTTTTTGCTTTTCATTTTCGTATCCGGTTGTTTCAACTTTCAAGTTCAACCCTGTTGTGATGGTGTAGGGAGGAGAGCAGTCGCGTAACGAGCCCCGACGACGGGCCCATCACCGACGGCGGCAGCACCGGCAGTGGCAGCGGAGGATCCAACGGCCACGGCAACGGCAATGGCGATGACTATTTTGGATTGATATTTGGGAACGGTGCTCGACCAAGCCCAAACACAATATTCTTGTCTATTTCAATTATTTTTATTTTGTACTTTACCACCAACCATGGTGGTGCTCTATTATCTTTACCATTATTATTAACATTATTATAGGATTTAAAGAAAATATAATCATAATAAGATAAAGAAAAAAAGGGGAAGAAAAGATTTCTCAAATTGATTGATTGCTTGTGTGGTCCCCACTTATAATGTATTTATCTGAGGTTACTTGGTGCCTAAGGTGACATAATTTTTGGGTTTTACACACTATCAACTGAGTGATGGGTTTTTGAGTGTGTTTTTGACTTTTGAAGATCATGTTTTGGGTGTTTTGATTGGTTGAGATTTGGGTAGGCTTAGCTAGGAGAAAACTTGGGTGTTTTGATTGTTTGAGATTTGGGTAGGCATAGCTAGGAGAAAACTTGGTTAGGGATGATCGATCATGTTGTCTGCAGGGCACTTCTCACAAAAAGTATAGAATGATCGACTACGTTGTTTGTAGGATACCAATGATAAAAATTATAGAATGATTGACTACATCATTTGCAAGGCACTTCTCATAGAAAGTATAGGACTCTTTGTATTTTAGTTTCAAGTGACTCCATGATAAGTCTCACTCAATGTGAAACTTACCATAATCAGATAGTCTATCGAATCTGCTCTCGTCACATGGATTAGATATGTGCGAAAGAAATGAAAAGGAGAAAATTATGGAGAGAATATATGAGGATAGGATATGGTTGGCTGAGATGGAAATTTCGGATGGCATGTCAAATTCAGCGGCTTCTCTTTTTTGCTTTTTTGCATCGGCTATTTTCGTTGAATTTTAGTGCTTCTCCGTTTTCATTGAGTAACAATAATGTAGTAACATGGCATGTTTCCGTGTCTTCTGTTAAGCTAAAATCTAAAAGTGCCTCTCTGAGTGCTCTTTTCACATTCGTACAAAGTGCTTATTCTACGTTCGTGAATTGTGAGCTGGTAAAACAAAACCTAAAGTGCTGCTTTGAGCGCTTTTTTCACTTTCGTACAAAGTGCTTATTCTACCTTTGTGAATTGTGAGCTAGTAAAACAAAACCTAAAAGTGCTTCTTTGAGTGCTTTTTTTCACATTCGTGCAAGTCGCTTACTCCAACTTCGTGAATTGTGAGCTAGTAAAACAAGGAAACCGAAGACAATGTTTACATAGCAAAACAAGTCCAAAGTGATGAATTTACTACTGCAAAGCTACTGCGATAATCGTTCATAAAATTCGAACCAAAGTACATTTATAAGCTCGTCGACGAACAAGATATCACCGAGTAATTTGACGACGAGAATGAACACAGCCTAAAGTAAAAGAAGTATAATTAACAGAGTATGCACATAGTTTTTCCCTTTTGGGAATAAAGGAAAACAATGGCAAAATCTTTGCAAGCATTTACAGTATCTATATTTTCCTCCGTTACTAATTATTCGTAGGCTTCGTAGGACTTCTAACATTGCAACAAGTTCGCAAAATGCCATCTAAGTAGAAAATTTGAAATGTTTCTGTCCTATATTTAGTTAACTAACCAAGACCATATCTTCACCCACATTTGCCGCCGCTGCTTCTATTCTCTTCCAAGTCAATTGCCGCTGCTCTTCCTGCTCTCTAGTTCTGGTTTCTTTCTCTAAGTATTGCTGTTGGCACTCTTCAAACAATTCTGCATCCATTTCCTGGAACATCCTTCGGACGTTTCCTGTCAATCCATGGATCGCTTGGTTCCAGTGACCTTGCGTATTCTTCTCTAACGCTTCAAAGACTAATGGTAATATCACATTCCGGTTCTGAGAAATTAAAGTTACAATGTGCTCACTGTTCCACAAGTAAAGAGCCCGTTCGGCAACCTGCCACACATCCTTATGTTACAAGCACTTTTCAAATAGAATATTCGTACAACAAACCAGATACGCTTTTCAATTAAGCTTTCTTCCTCATTGCCAAGAAGATAATTTGTTGTGCGGTAGCAAGTAAGATGCATGTACCAATAGATTCCAACACATAATAAGTAGTAATACAGAAACACGATATCTTTATCAATTAAAGAGGAGAGAAAACGTGAAACTATAGACACTGTCTAGCTGTTATGAAAACTATGGACTAAGCAAATGTATTTGCTGGCTAGCCCGTCCTTGACCCGCTTTGGGAACAACAGTTCTTGATTAAACAAAGGGAGCTTTAGATTCAAACCCATCATCCTTCAACAACCTATAAATAGTACCCTTACAATCCTTTAGAAAAAAAAAACCCCATTTTAATATTAGAAGGGCCCAAACATGATAAATAGTTCATACAAAGACTGGAAAATTACACGCATATGGCACCACATTTAAAATTAAGCCCAAGGCCCCCACTTCTTAAAAAACCAAATTAAAAAAAAAAAAAAGATAAATAGCTTCGGGTTAATTGCTTATGGCCTTATGACAATAGAATTCTAGAACCTAAACGGAAAACACTCGGCCAAAATATTATGATATTTCTCATAAAACCCCTATAATCATTAGAGAAGAGCGCAAAAACAATTTCACTCTAAAATCTAGTTAGAGTTAGTATGGGTTTTTCTCCCTCCACTATGAGTCTCCACGGGGTTTTCTATAAAAGGTGTTGTGGGGATGGTGGTTTTATTAATATGTAATTCATAATCCACGATGTGATGCCCTGTTCATTACCATTTTTACACACTGGACTTCCAGATGGATGTAAACGAAAAGGATAACTTGTATTTCTTTTAAAAAGACTAGCAATATGGTGAGATTTCTTCAAAGAACCTCTCCTATACTAACTAAATTTCCTGACAGCATAACTTATTATGAAGTAGTTCTTGTATGTTGCAGAGGTGAATCATCAACCACTACAAGAAGGGGACACGAGGGGATGTTACTATCTAACACTGGCAGCAAGCTACACACAACTATGTATAGACACCCCAAACCTGTTCCAAAAGAGCGGCAGAGGTGTATCATAAGAAATTTCAACACTATTCGAGATGACCAACTTGGAATGACATACACATCGAAGGTATTGGTTACTCATGTAGCTATATATTCTTTACAAACAAGTTAAATAACACTTAGAATCATTTTCATTAGGTTTAACTGTTTAAGCAGTCTCGGTTGACAATGGAAAGGGGGAAAGAAAGCCCTCAAAGTAACGCTAATCATTATACAATAAACAGGTAATTCCCCATCAACTTATTAACTTTTTTTTTTTTTTTTGAAAAGAACTTACTAACTTATTTCTGAGTGTCTGATACATTTTTATCACAAATTCGTTTATATCAACAACAATGTTCCAAAAATCACTTAAGAAAATAATAAGATGAGCAATCCAAAACCAAAATACACCTAAAGATAAAGATGCCTTCAAAAGCAAAATCAATTAAACGGTATCTACCATGCTACTTGTACCAAAGAAAAGAAAAAAACAGTCTCTTTTTCGTTCACCTGGAAATGAGGGCTATTAAGGCAGCGTCCAATCTGTCCAAAAAGCGGAAGCATACATCTTTGAAACTCTACGGCCTGCGTAGCCTCCAAAACATCTTCCAACTCTGCGAGAAACAGAACCTCCTTTTGACAATTGGTGACCGGCCAATACTTCAATAACCCCTTGATCACCGGTTCGGCCAACTTAGAATCCTTGTCTACAAACTGTATGATACAATAGGCCAACTGGTAATGATACGCCGATATGGATTTGGGTTTGTGCAGCGGAATAAGTGCCCTCGCTAGGAACAACTTATGCTCCTCTTTCATGGGCAAAGCAAATCCATTTATTATACTCCCTAGAATCTCCAAAAACTCACCAATCCCACAATGCCTCTGCGTCTCGAATATAAACCTATAAAACACATTGTTCATGGCCTTCCGAATAAAGGGTCTAAGAACCATGAACTTCCCATAAATTCTATGCAAAAGGGTTTTCAAATACTCGCGTTCCCGGGGATCCTCCGAATCGAACAACTCCATTAACCTCAGCACAAATATATGATCAATGTAACGCTTGGCAACTTTAGCATCGGTTTCAGGGGAGGCAATGTACCTTAACAAAAGTTCATAGACAATTTGGAGGTGGGGCCACGAGGGTTCCTGATAAGGTTCCTCCTCGTCCGGTTCGATTACGTCCGATGACGGCGGCAGGCACCGGAAGATGTTGATTGACACCATGCGGATGAGCTCCTCTTGCATTGGACCGGTGAGCTTGAGCGAACCGGAGTGGATGAAGTCGACGAGCTCCATTAGGGTTTGGCGCTTGAGCTCCTTCTCCCCAGCAGATTTGAGGGAGCTGGAGAAGTCGCAGTAGAAAGAACAGAGCTGGAGCTTTTTGAGGAGGAGGGCCGGGCGGTCCGAGACGGCGGCGTCGAGGAGGAGAGGGAGGGTTTCCATGAGAGGGGAGAGAATGACGAGTCGTGACTCGGGGTCGAACTCGGGATCGGTGGAATCGGGTTTTGGGGATTTGCGGTGGCTGCGTTTTATGATTTTGGTGAGCATTTTTTATTTTATTGGGATTTTTGGGAGGGGATAAGGACGACCTAGGAGACTGGAATGGAGAGGAAAGTTAGGGTTTTTTGGGAGGGGATGAGGAGGGATTTGGGGGAAGAGGGATTGGAAATCATTTGGGTGTTTGGGAGGTGGGAAAATTTGCAGAGAAAGTGGGGGAAAGTTTTGAGTGGAGTTTGTGTGATTGAGGAAGTAGTTTATGGTCACTCTTGCTGGAACCGGTATCGTTTGGTAGGATGGGAAGTAACGGAGAGGGAGATGTCCTCGGATGGAAACAAGGAGGAAGAAGAAGGGGACGGAGAGTTATAATTTTGTTCTACGGGATGAAATAGAATGAAAATTCACTCAAAATTCGTTCTGTGGAATAACGTGTTTCATCCATTTTAAGTGCACCAAACATAAGATGGAACGCCTCTACCGATTCTATTCCGTCTCGTCTCGTGTATCAAATGGTAAGCTTGATTATAAATGGAATGTTTTTTATTCTCTCTCCCCTACCCACTTGAGCATGCAAGTATGGTCGACGCGTACAAAAATTTTACTATGCTCCGGTCTGTAGCACGCATTAAAATAATGGATGGTTGAATGTGTTGCTAAAGATTCAATTGTTAATGACGTAAATACTAAGAATCTCGATGTTCACTATACTTTGGTGCATAATAGAAAAACTTACACAGACGTGAAATGAATCCATTTGAACTTGCATGCTCTTGTTAAATTGTCTTGAATTTAGGAATGGCATGAGCATGAAACTTGTTTTATGTACTGGAGTAACATGATCGTATCTAGGATTCGATTTTTGCAAGTGTTTCTTTAGAAGTAAAATCTCTCAACATTTTAAAACAAACTCATTAAGAGTGCAAGTCTTAACCGATAGATTAGGGCATGTCACCGTATGTATATGCACATAATGAGAATTGAGAAACTCCGTCTTATCACTGAGTGTATTCATGTGAAGAGAGAACACATGAGAGAAACACTAACACCATAATATACACGCCTGCGATCAAGAAAGGAGAATTATTTATATCAAAATTCAGAGATCAGGAGAGGAAAATTACTTATAATCAAAATTAAGAATAGGGTGACAAACTTTGACACTTCAATAGCACCCGCTCGAAGTGTGAGGGGTGATGTTTGGAGTGCGAAAATCATTTCCCGCAAAAATTTTGAAAGCACATTTGTTAAGAATAAGAGTGGGAGACAAGACTTGTCAAACAGACATAGAAACTTTTCAATGAGGAGCAGAGATTCACATTTTTCTGCCAAAATACTAAATCCTCACCAATAACTTGAAAATAAGAAGAAGAAAAAAGTGAAATTAAATCATCAAAAGACATCGTCATCGATTCATGTTTCGACAGATTGGAAGCAACAGAGATGACCCACAAAACCAACATCCAAGATTCCTTAAAAGAGTACTGTTTGATTCATAGAAAGACCAGACTAAATTAAGCAAAAACTAACAGACCAGAAGCAGGAGAGGACAGTAAGGGTGAAGTTGCTGGTTTAACCACTGTTCGGGCACTCCCTTGCGAAATGGCCAGACTGTCCACACTTGTAGCAGCCACCGCCTCCACCACTGCCACGGCCACCACTGCCACGGCCACCACCACCATAGCCTCCACCGCCCTGGGAGCAGTCCCTCGCCATGTGCCCTGACTCACCACACTTGTAGCAAGCACCACTGCTACCCCCTCCACCGCCCTGGGGGCACTCCCTCGCCATATGCCCAGACTCACCACACTTGAAGCAAGCACCACCGCCGCCGCCTCCACCGGTACGGCTGCCGCCACCATAGCTTCCACCGCCCTGGGAGCAGTCCCTTGCCATGTGCCCAGACTCACCACACTTGTAGCAAGCACCACCTCCACCGCCTCCACCACCCTGGGGGCACTCCCTCGACATGTGCCCGGACTCACCACACTTGAAGCAAGCACCACCTTTACTGCCGCCGCCGCCCTTGGGGCACTCCCTTGACATGTGCCCGGACTCACCACACTTGAAGCAAGCACCACCTTTACCGCCTCCACCGCCCTGTGGGCACTCCCTCGACATGTGTCCAGACTCACCACACTTGAAGCAAGCACCACCTTTACCGCCTCCACCGCCTTGAGGGCACTCCCGCGACATGTGCCCAGACTCACCACACTTGAAGCAAGCACCACCTTTACCACCTCCACCACCCTGGGGGCACTCCCTCGACATGTGCCCAGATTCACCACATTTGAAGCAAGCACCACTGCTCCCGCCTCCACCTCTACCCCCAAAACCCCCTCTACGCCCACCATCTCCAAAACCCCCTCTGTCACCATCTCTATCACCGCCTCTACCTCCAAAACCACGTCCACCTCTCCAATTCCCACCACTTGAATCCTCAGGCTGGTCTCCATTCCCACCATCTGTTGAATTCCAATTGCTTTTACTGCCCCAACCAGATTTCTGATCTGCATCACCAGTTCCTGAGTTCCAACTACTTTTTTTGCCCCAAGTTGAATCCTGGTTCCCACCGGTGTCATCAGATCCTGATTTCCAATCACTTTTCTTCCCCCAACTGGACTCTTGATTGCCACCAGTCTCACTAGATTGAGAATTCCAAGTACTCTTCTTCCCCCAACTAGAATCAAGATTTCCACCAGTGTCGTCAGATCCAGAGTTCGAGTTGATTATCTTGCCCCAAGTAGAATCCTGGTTCCCACCTGAGGAAGCAGATCCGATGTTCCCATCGCTTTTCTTACCCCAACCAGACTCTTGACTGCCACCAGTCTCACTAGATCCTGAGTTCCAATTGCCTTTCTGGCCCCATTTAGAAACCTGATCTCCCCCTCCACCACTTGACCCACCTTGCCAAGCTTTAGTTTGACCCCAGCCTGATGATTGATCTCCCCCTCCACCACTTTGTTGTTCATTGGCGGCAGATCCTTTGCCCCACTTGCCTCCATTGTTCCCCACTCCGGCAGCGGTTACATTAGCTTGTTTACCCCATGAAGACCCTCCAGTTTGTTTACCCCATGAAGAATCTCCAGCTGGCTTACCCCAAGAAGAACTGCCATCTTGTTTACTCTCGGTTGAACTGCCACCTGCCTTACCCCAGCTTCCAGTCTGAACATTTTCAGCAGGCGTTGAGCTTTTCCACCCTGCATCACCAACAGTTGGTGAATCTTTACTGCTCCAGTTCCCTGTGGCTTTATTCTGAGGCTTACCCCAAGCAGGCCCATCACTACCGACTGCATTTCCTTTGTCCCAAGATTTCTGTTGAGCCCACCCAGGGCTTGAAATATCACCAGATGGTGCATCAGACTTCTTTCCCCATGCTCCCGCATCAACAACATTTTTACCTTTGCCCCATGAATCCAGTTGACCCGTCCCAGCAGGTTCAGCCTTCTGCCCCCAAGAATCACTTTTTCCCCAGCCAGCACCTTGGTCATTGTTATCTGGGGCACTGCTGTCACCCCCAGTTTTAGCACTTGATTTCCCCCAAGAGTCGCTTTTTCCCCAACCAGCGCCTTGATCATTGTTATCTGCTGGTGCACCGCTGCCACCCCCAGTTTTAGCACTTGATTTTCCCCAAGCATCGCTTTTTCCCCAGCCAGCACCTTGATCATTGTTATCTGGTGCACTACTGTCACCTCCAGCTTTAGCACTTGATTTTCCCCAAGTGTTGCTTTTTCCCCAGCTAGCACCTTGATCACTGTTATCTGGTGCACTACTATCACCCTCAGTTTTAGCACTTGATTTTCCCCAGGCGTCACTTTTTCCCCAGCCGGCACCTTGATCATTGTTATTTGCTGTTGGTGCTGCTGCTGCACCCCAGGATGAAGCTGTACTTGGAGCCGCTTTGCTCCCCCAAGAAGTATCATCATCTACAGGTTATCAAAAGAAAATAAATGAAGCAGCTTTGCCAAGAAAAGCATTGATCATCAAAGATGTTGATATCATTAAACTTCAGAACTGAACATACCTTTTTTAACAAGGTTTGCACTAGCCCAAGAATTACTGCAAGAAAGTGGTAATCAGCATCAGAATATACACAAAGGAATTTGGTAAAAAAGGCATCAAATAAACAAATAGAAAAACTACGTCTTGTACAACATAAAATGAATTTCTGTCGGATTACCTTTCACCAGATGCCCCTCCAGCATTCCACCCACCACCCCCGGCTGATGCCCCTCCAGCATTCCACCCATCACCCCCAGCAGATGCCCCAGCTCCATTTGTCCAGTCTTCAAATATAACAAGCACCATAGGTCACATTTTTAAAGGTAAAAAACAGCATATTTGCATAGTTGTATACAAAAGTGATCCCCTTTCCAGCTATGTGGCATGTTATGAATGAAGGTAGAAATTGCTTCCAGAAGATGCATACCATTTGAGCCTCCTTCACTTCCGAGCAAATCAAATGGTTTTAAACTGGACTCCGGGTCCTCACTTTACAGAGAAAGAGACATTAGCACACTTAGAAAAGACAATTAAGCATGAAAAGCTTGGCATAAATGATTAATTGACTAAATATAATTACCCAATCAGCACATTAGAGCTCTTTCCACGAACTTCAGAAATATGCTCTTTTGTAACTGCATAACAATGAAACAACAAACTTATGATAGCCGTAGAATTGCATTCAATGATCAACCAACCAAACTCCCCGCAGTAATCAAAATGATATTGACCAACCTGTAAGAACCTTTTGCTGAGAATCAAGCTTAACAGTAATATCAGCACGGCGTATAGCCAAGATGCGACAGAGGTATCCCTTCAATGGACCCACACGGATTCTTACAGTTTGACCAATTGAGAACATTCCATCTTTATCACCCTGACTGACTGCATTAAATAATTAATCAGCAGGAGGCAGAAAACTTGATATTAACAATTGAATCACAGCACTAGCACTCATACTTACAGTTACTATCCCTTTCTTGCCATGGCTTTTTTGGCGATAGCGGGGATTTAGGAGACGACACGAAATCTCCAAAACCCAGAGCACCTGAATCCCCATCCTGAATGAGGAAGAAATATCATTACCAACGCCTTCATGCTAAAATGTAATATACCGTACACTCAAAGAACAAAAGAAAAAAGCTTCCTACCTTTTCTTTGCAGGAATCAATGTAAAGCTTAACTTTCTCACACATTTGTGATTTTGAGCAAAAATAACCACCATTTTCTGTCTCGTTCTCATCATACAAGAATATGGTGCCTCTATAGATTTGCTTAACAATACCCTGCCTACCCTGCAAAATTGGGACAAACTAGTGTAAAATATTCCAGCCTATGGAGCCATATGTACCTCGGTAAACTAATTTTTACGTTC